GCGGCTGCAGCAATTGGCCATTGCAGGATCAGCCACAGGGGGATCCCCACCCTGGCCAGCAGGACTGACTAAGGTGGCACCAGTTGCTCATGCCCATATTAATTCTGCCCCAAGTGGTCTATACCCACAATGTCCACATCTGCCCAACACCTTGTTTATCATGTCCTGAGCCTCACCCCCTACTCCTCCCAGGGTTCTCTACCCACCTTCCCCGTGCACAGCAAGGGGCACAGGAAAGCTCTTCATACCCCTTTGTTTCCTTCTCTCACTTCTAGGATGTGTGGGCCACTATAGAGGTTCCTTACACCTTTCTGTCCTTTCTCAAGCCAGATATTTCAGAGAGGTAGAGGGGAGAGGAGACATCCCCACTGTTCACAAGAAAGGATGAGGGAACTTAGCTGCTTCCAACTGCTGGGCTCTTTCTCTTCCCTCTTTTCCATTACCCTCCCGGCATGGTGGTCAGATTGCTGACAGTAGGCCTGTGCGAGTCGGCAGCAATCCGATCTGGCTTCGGATCCAGCCACTTCAGATGGAAGTGATCCAATCCAGAGCTCCGGACTGGGTTTCCACCTTGATCTGGCCAAAGTTGCTTCGAAGCTTCTTGGAGATCCAGCCATAGGGTATAATGGGGGAATCAATGAAATATCTATAACTTTGTTGGTTTTTGTCTGATTTAGATGAAACTTGCAGGGATTGTAGCTTCTGCTGAGAGCATGAAGCCTACCAAGTTTCAAGAAGATCAGTGCAGGGGTTTGGGGGGAACTGTACCCCAAATTCTTGAAAGTCAAACTCATGTCACAGCTGTGTGTTACATGACAGGGGGCTGAAAACTGCAGGGGCGGTAGCTCTTACTGAGGCCACAAATCCTGTCATGTTTCAAGAAGATCGGTGGTGGGGTTTGGGGGGAACTGCACCTCAAGCTGCGGACAAGCAAAACTCGTGACATGGGTAACCCTGTGTGTGTTAAGGTGCAGCGGGTTGAAAGCTGCAGGGATGGTGGCCCCTGCTGTGGCTACGAAGCCTGCTGGCTGTTGAGGAGATCGGTGCAGGGGTGTTCTGGGGCCCTGCACCCCTAGCTGCTGACAGACAAAACTCATGCCATGGGTGCTTGTCTATGTGTTACAACACGGGGGGGGGGTCAACACTGCAGGGCTGGTAGCAGTCAAAGAATAGCTAGGAGCCTGACACTTAAGAAAAAAAGCTGTGAAGCAAATATATGCGACTAGCCTTTGATCTTGGAGCAACTCCCACTATATTCTTTGTTACTCTCAAGATCAGATCAATTGATCTCGGAAACATTCACAGCTACATACAATGGAACAAGCTCAATTTAAAGGCATGTAGCACATATGCATTATCCTAGATAATTTCCCATTAGCTTACAATAAGGCTGTCCAACTCCTAAGCGGTCGGGAGCTGCAGGCCTTATGGTCTACACTAGCAGAGGCTGCACACCATAGGAGTTGCACTAGCAGGGGCCACGGACCTCCTTAGTCTGTACCTCACACACAAGGGCAGACATTGTCTCATGCTGCTGCACTGTGCCCAGGCAATTGAGTGCTTCCCCTCCCAGCTGCACTCAGTGTGTGGTTGGGCATTCCCACACCTTGGTGCCCTGCTGGCACTCCTCCCTCACCTGCAGCAAACTGCAGGTTTCCCTGTGGCACCAGGCTACACAGGTGCTCCAGGCTGATGGCTTCCCTAGAATCACAGGCTGCGTGGCACGGTGCCATGTCATGGAACTGGCAGACAGTGGAAGCTAAGGGTGGGAGAAGGAGCCCCAATCTCCAGCTGCTGCTGTAGCCATAGGCTGGGTGGGAGCCCAGGGGCCATATGCTTACCCTTCATGAGCTAGACTGTCAGTTGGTCAGCCCTGGCATAAAGCATCATTATCTAATTTATTAAAGGAAGAAATACCTAGCCATAAATTAATCAACTACAATCAGCCGCCTTTAAAAAGAAAAATGATCTGAAGTTGGTCTAGTGCATCTCTTGATCTGCTCTCCCACAACTCCAGCCTTGTAAGTGCTCCAAGCCTGCTGCCTGGTGTAACTCTCTCTAATCATCTTCTCAGTGGGATAGGTGCTCACCAGCTCGAGAGCTGCTCTCTTGGATTTGTCAGGTGCTTTCTCAAGAAAAATTTTTTTGGGAATGAAAATGCAGTCTGCTCCTTCACTGATCTATAGGAGATAAAAAAAACCCCAGAGAATAACTACATGCTGATTTTTAAACAGTACAAAACCCTCATATTGTACTGTTATCTCTTCTTATAACCATAATATAAGTTATTAATTCCAAAGAGTTTATGAATGCATATTCATTTGTTACTAGAGGTGCACCAATACATCGGACCACATTGTATCAGCACTGATAAAAGGAAAATTGACATTATCAGCAATCGGCTTTTTTTGGCTGATGTGGCCAATAATGTTGCCGATAAATGCTGCATGCACAACTGCAGCCGTGGCATGAACGCAGCCAGGAGTACAGCCTGGCACTGTGGAGAGCAGCATCCAGCCGGTAAGTCTGTGGGGAGAAAAGGGTGGTGGGGGAGGGAAAGGGCAGATTGAGGCCCCCGTGATGAGGGAGGAAGTGGGGCTGAGGCAGGGCCCAGGACGGAGCCATAAGCAGTTTGTCCATGGGGTGTGGGGCACTCCTGCTGCTGCAGGCACCCCTGGGGGAGGTATGGGGGCATGTATGCCCTGCCGGGTCTACGTGCGGGGTGAGGGCAAGCTACTGTTGTGTACTTGGGCCAGTGCTGCGTTTGGGGTTGGTGGAGGAAGCAATGAGAGGGAGGGCTATGTGGTGGGCTACAGCCACCCCAAAATTTGCTGTAGCACCCCCTCCCCCCCAGTGCTGTTGTTGCTCACCCCAACAGTGCAGGCCTGGCCCAACCCCAGCACTGGGAAGAGCCCAGTGCAGCCCCATCCCCAAGCATGCAGCAGCAGCCTGCTCTCACCCTATGCACAATCTGGGGGGCACATGCCCCCCATACCTCTCCTGGGGTGTGCACAGTGGTGGGAGTTGCATCCCCACTCCCTGCACCCCCTGGATGAGCTGTTCATGGCTCCATCCTGCATCCCACTCCATCCTAGTTGGGCAGCGCCTGCCCCAGCCCCAGCCCCACTCTCTCCCTCACCCTGGGGGCCTCGATCTTCCCTCCATGCCCCTTCTACTCTGCCCCATCCCTTACTCCCAACAGACTTATCAGCTGGACGCTACTCTCCAAGCTGCCAGGCTTGCATTTTGTCAATCAGATCAGTATCAGCCAATATGACTCATTAATAATTAGCCATTAGTATCGGCCAAAAAAATCTTTATTGGTGCACCCCTATTTGTTACAATGTGTTCAGAAGATATCTTGTAGATCAGGTTAAGAATTCTTTTAAAACAGGTACAGAGAATCAATAAAGCCAATATGCAAAAGCTAGCCATCCACTTTCTGTTATGCTTCTGTAGACAACAGACAAAAATGGTAAAAAATACTATAATCCAAAATAAAATCTTTTCTTCATCTAGAAAATGTTGGGCTTATTTTGATCTTAAATTTAATAGTCTTTGAGTTCACATTTATCAATTTAAAGACAGTTTTAACAAAGATGAAATGAGATTACTTTCTGCCCACAGAGTGACGTTGATTGAGTTAGAGAAATTGCTTAGATTTATAAAGACAGAGAGATTATATAGATTATTTCTTTGCTGTGAGTATTCAGGCCATGCCAGTTTTGCTAAGCAAAGTTACGCGGGACTAAATGTAGGCCTAATAACAGAAGATGACTGCAATATTCATTATGGAGAAAATATTATCCCACAAAAACAAATACCATATTTACCATGTGTATTAATAACATATTGTTTATCAAAGTTCCATATTCAATTTTAACTAAGGTTCACCTGCACTGTAATAAGGAAGTGTGAGTAACATATGTAGACATACCCAAGCTGAGATAAACATGGGACACCTCTGATTGATCTCTGATTTTTGGTTGAAACATGCAGATTTGTCAAAGTTCCTATGAATACATTTCAGTGACTATTTTTATGCAATACAGATACCTTTCAAAACCTGCTTATCAGGCAAGTTTCACCAGTTTCACTGCTGCTGTTGAGTGGTGGGCAGCAGTGAAACTGCAATCTCAATTGCAGTTGGCTATTGCCAGGATTTCCATTTAAAAGACACCTGTGCTTGAGTTTCTGAAATAACATATTGTGGGATTTCAGTTTGGCATTTTGTCCTAATATAGAACAACAAATAAGTATGGCAGCATAAAACAAATCTGTTCTTAATATAAAAACTGTACCAAGTCCAGATTTTGGTCCAGCTTCAAATTGTGTGCATTTATAGATATATTTTAAAAACCATTAAGCTATTGAAATGATAATGATGTTTTTAAGAAGCCAGTGAACAACCGTGCTTGATCTGCTGCTATAATTCAAGTTCTAATTCTGCACTGTGGATCATTAGCTTTCTCTACTAACATCTATTTACACTTTGGCTAAGTACAGACATTCAAAAATCCCGGGCCTGAATTGATTCAATCTTTGCAGCTTAGTTTAATCTGGGTAGATAGAAACAAGAAGCAAGTGAATAGACATTCACTTTTGAATCCAGAAATGCCTGCAGTGACTCAGGCCAGAAGCTGGAGGGTGGTAGAGCAGCCCTCTCTTCCCTTCAGCAGTGACCAGAAGGTTGGAGGGAAGCAGAGCTGGGGGGAGGGGGGGGGGTAGCCAGACCCTGGCCAGCTGCTGAGTATGATTGGGAGCAGTATAAACCCCACCCTAGCCTGCAGGGACCCCAGCAAGGCTGTGCCTGGAGGAGTCTGCCCAGCTTTTCCCCTTTGCTTGCCGCTTGAGCGGCAGGGGATGTGGCCAGATGGTTGCCTGGGCATTGCCTCAGGTGAAGTGGGGGAGAGAGGGGAATTAAATGCCCCTTGTCTCCTCTCTTCCACCAGCATGGGACCCCAGCTGGGGTTTGCATGGCTTTCCCCTCTGCTCACCACTCAAGCAGCTATCTGGGGTCCCGTGCCAGTGGGAAATGGGAGGCAGGGGGGTTTAATCCCCCTGCCACCCCCCACTTTGCCTGAGGCACAGTCTGGGCCACCATTTGGCCACACACCCTGCTGCTTGAGTGGTGAGCAAGGTGAAAGCTGGACAGACCCCGGCTCGGGTCCCATGCCAGTGGGGGGCGGGGGCGGGGAGGATTAAACTCCCCTTCCCTGCCTGACCCTGATCACACCAGCGGGGGCCTGGCCATGCCCTCTGCTCTCCGCTGCAGTAGGGAGTGGGGGGCTGCAGGGGGCAGAAGGGTGGCAGCCCTTGCCGCACAGGCCCAGGCTGGGGTCTTGTGGACCATGGAGGGGGTTTAAACCCCACTCCCTCCCCTCTGCCTGACCCTGCTGGCCCACACCCCAACCCCTCCACTCCAGCAGGGAAAAGTCTGGCAGGGGCTGCTTCACTTCCACCAGGCAAACCAGGCTGCATCCCCAGCTGGGTTTTCCACCCTCACTCCCTCACCAACCAAAAAGGCAGCAAAATATAATAAAGGCATTTCATAAAAAAGCAACATAAATGGAGCAGATTTTGATATTACCCCAGATTTTAAGTAATCACAGAATTTGGATTTTGGGTGTGGGTTAATTTCAGATTGGGGCAGACGTTAGTGGACACTGATCAAGAAAATTCTTTCCTGGTTTATTTTCTGTTACCAAGAAAATAAGAGAGGGTTTCTCTCCCCACTCCACTTCTTTTAGGAAGTTAGTGATAGTGATGCAGAAGTAACAGGCAACTTATAAGCTATGTTCAGGAATACACTGGAAAAGAAAAGTGCTTATAGGTAACCGCAAGCCACAACTTTTTCTATTCCAGTGATTCTCAACCAGGGTGCCAGAGCACACTGGGGTGCCTTGAGATCCTTTCAAAGGTGTACAAATCTAACAAAGGGAGTCTTGAGTCTAAAAAGGTTGAGAACCTCTGGTCTATTCAGTGACAAGTGGGAAGGAGCACTGGTGTCAGCAGTTTCCTCTTTTCCATTCATTGGGCCATACCTTTCTGTACTTCTCTCTTGCATGTCTGCACGGTCGGACAAGAGAGGAAAGCCAGCAGCAAAGCCTGCAGAATACATCAGTGCATGTGCATTTCCTACTGATTGTCTTTTCTTCTAGTTTTCAGGTTCACTCCTCTTACCAAAACACAGCGAGGAAGCCGTAAGAGCAGGATGCGCAGGCTAGGAACAAGTCCTAATGGATGACTGGAAATTACTGCACAAGCTTAACTGTAAAAAAGGCTTCTGGAAAAGGCTATTTCTTGCCAATTATTTTGATCATCAATATAGGCTCAACCTAAAATGTAGTTACGGAAGTTCAAAATTTTAACATTTGTCTAAATAAAAATGTTCCATATTCAGGAGAAATGCTTGTGTTCCCCTTCTAAATAATAACTTAGTTGATTAACACTTCATAAAAATGTAAATGAAAAGAAAATAAGTTTTAGCATCTTCCCTATCAAACAAATCTTCTTACCAAGCTGAACTTCAGGCCACAAAATGTGTCCATTGTTTCAGCCAAGCCCTATAATAGTAAAAGATATATGTCTTAGAAAAATTAGTAAGGTTCTCTATAGAGCTGTACTCCTACACTTTTTCTAAGTAGAAAACACTGGAGTTTAGTACAAGCTCGAGCCAAGTAATCCTCTCTGTGATAGAATGGCTGCTCTGCTACCATGTGACATTTCAATTTTTAAAATGATTCTCCCTCTCCTTGGTAATAAAGGAAGGGTTGGTCACCCTAGTTGTTTTAGAAAAACGATGGGATACATTCTTATGTATATTTTTGTGTATGAAATATATACTTCACCTTACACAAACACTTAGTGTGCTTAAGTCAGGGGTGGGCAAAATACAGCCCATGGTCCAGATGCAGCCCACGAGGCCATTCTATCTGGCCCGCGGGGCCCCTAAAAAAATGTAGAAAATTAATATTTCTCTGTCCTTGGTTCCTATCAAAAATGACAGGAACCAAGGGCAGTAGGACCCAGGGGAAGCCCGGCAAGTTCCCACAACAGCGGAGCCTGCCTGGCCCCGCTCCCCAGGCAGAAGCCCCAGACATGGTTTCTGGGCTGGGACCACGTGGCTGCCCCGGTGCGGGAAGCTCAGGTAAGTGGGGGCGGGGGGACCCCGGGCAGGGAAGGAGCACGGGTGGGGGAAGTGGCCCCTCCCTGCCCCACGCCCAGTGCCCCACGCTGCAGCGGCTTTAAGCCTGCATGGGGCTGCCTGTGCCCACTCTGGACAGCCCCACGTGGGCTGCAAGCACCTGCAGCGCAGGGCGGGGGAGGGGCCGCTCCCCTCCCCCATGCTCAGCTTTTCCTTGGGCTCCTTCCCTGCACAGAGAAAAGCAGCCCCTTGCCCCGCACCTTGTAACCCAGCCCCACTGTCAGGATGGAAGTTGGGTAGGCTACAAGCTGGTGCTGACCATGGGGAAAAGTGGCCCTTTGCCCGCCCCATGGCCAGTGCCCTTCACTGCAGCCACCTGCAGCCCACATGAGGCTGCCTGTGCCTGCTCCAGACAGCCCCCCGTGGGCTGTGAACAGCTG